TGCAGCAAACCGTAAGCTCAAGCTCATCTCGATCTGTTGGGGCGCGTCGGCCGTGCATCCTTCGCTGCTCTACACCAAGCAGCTGCATGCACACAATACGGTAGCAGCCACCCTTCGACAGCACCTTATAAAACAGCACACAAAAGGGAAAAGGTTGAGTGCATTTCCATGTTATAGTATTTTCAAACTCAAACAATCCAGATCTGCAGTAGAATCTACCTCGTGGGACAAGCCAGGCTGCGGCAGGAGTTCAAGATGATCCCGTGACGCATGTGAACATATTGCCAGCTCCTTGATCGGCGCGGTGCAAAGCATAATTCAGGACTGCCCCCGGTGCGTCGGTCAGCTTGTCTGACTAGTCCTGCCCATAGGTAGGTTGTCATTGATGGATAATGACGTCATATAGTGAATCCGGGCTGCGATCAGCTTCGCACCGACGGCATTGCGCGGGAGGTGGCGTGCACCAGACGCAACCGTGACCAAAACCAATTCAGCACCACGTGTTCATGCTACAATCAACCCCGCTGTTTGGTGTTTCTCAGGGGATCAACGTGAGCTGCAGGCCGCCCGCCGCAGCGTGGCGGCAGATCGCATCCTTCAGCTCAATCACCGCAGGGGGCACGGGCTCTGTTCAGCCTGAGACAGACAAAGACAATGCGGGAGCGGCGGGCCTGCAGCACACAGACGTGTGCGTGCAGCGACGGCGATGCTGTGGGCGAAACGTGCAAAGCTCGGACTGCCCCCAGCAGCTGCGCAGCGGCCTCCTGCAGCAACAGCAGCTTGGGGCGCTGCTGCACATGCAGTTGTACTAGTGAAGCCGGTCCGTCCCTGCAGGATACATGCAGCAACAACGAGCAGCAGCGGCATGCCAGTGAAAGGACAGGCAGTATGCGACCCCTTTGGTCCACAGCCTGGAGCTGGCTGCTTCTGTTCGGGCTGCTTCGGCGGTGTGGCTGCGTTGCAGCTGCTGACCAACCGCCCGAAGCCAGCGCATCCAGCAAGCCTGGACCGCGCTTTGCAATATATAATCAGGTGCGCCTCTGAAATGCCGTGCGGAGCTGCCGCATGCAGCCCGCCCTTGCCCCAGCTGCCGCCATGCAATGCCATGCGCTCGCCTTCCGGCTTCGCGCTCCTCCTCAGGTGCACTTCCACCTGGAGGTGGTGGCGGGTGCTGTGCACGTACTGCAGCAGCTGACCACAGAGCCGGTCGATGTCTACCTGCCGGAAAAGGCGCGAGGGACTTGGGCCAGACTGCATTTTGCACTTGCAGCACGTGCAAGCGGTAGCTGGTGGTGCCAGCGGCGCGCCTCGAGGGGCGGACAGCGAGGGTGGATGCAACAGGACAATCACATTGCTGGGGGCGCAAAGCCGCTCCATGCTTTCGCATGCAGTGGCGCAGCGGCAAGGCTGCCTTCGCCTTGCTGCACGACTGGTGCAGGTGGTGCAGAAGAATTGGTATGGCTTTTTGTCATGGATGGGCAACATGGAAGGCGTGGTGTTCAAAGACTGCAGCCGCTATGACGGCGTTACAACGTATGACCTGGTGAGTTCAAGCAGCGTTCTTCAACTGGGGCCGATGACAGGCGGCAGGTTGCGCTGCAGCTCGGTTGCCGCCCCGGCACTGACTGATGCAGAGGGTTTGATGAAAAACCCCGCGCACGCGGACGTTTGCACAAAGCCCCTCTAGCTCAGGCACACCTGCGCTGACACGCTGCTGCCGGAACGCGCCATGGCACACAACTCTGCAGGTTTGGTTCGTCACCCCAGAGTTTCCGCAGCCATCCAAGCGGTTGACCAAGGACCAGCACCGCGCCCAGATGCGGCAAATGATCGGTCAGATGCAGCCCAAAGTCTTGATGTACATGGTGCACAACGGTCACATGAAGAATGATGACTGGGAGAAGGTAGGGGGACCCTGCCAGCACACTGCATGGAAGCTGCGGCGTCACCTGAAGCAGACGCTTGCCTCCTGCATGCATCAACATCGTCAATGCCAATGCCAGCATGCGCTTGCCGCATGCTGGCGAATCGGGCACGGGCTAACAACGCCGGGCACATCCGCTGCGCGAGCCGCTGCCGGCCGCCGCCGCTGCGCCCCCGCAGATCAAGTCCCTGGCCAGCCCCGACGTGCCCGTGCTCACGCTGGCGCCCCACGTCGCCGCGAGCATCGGCGACCGCGGGCTGCCGCTGCCGCCGGACTGGATCCTGCCGATCTTCCCTTTCGACCCGCCGAACCCCTGCACCCTGGCCGACCTGAAAGCGGGGCGCCAGTGCATCCGGGGGTTCTCGGTGCAGGTGCGCAGGTGGAATCTTACTGTATGGACCCCCCTGCTTTTTCCAGCGCCGTCTACGCCACAACGCCCTGTCCTTTGCCAGTGCCAGCAGCGCTGCATTGCCACATGCTTACACGTGCCTGTCGCGTCCAACCTCGACGCAGGGTCGAATTGAGAAGAGCCGGCGGAATTACACGCATGTCTGGGAGCAGATCGGCGGCCACAAGCGGCGGGCGTCGAAGATGTCCGTGGCCAACTTCCGCCTCAACATCCTGGGGGAGACGGTGGAGGCGTTCAGCGTGCCAGGTGGGAAGATTCAGATCAGGATGCGGGGCTGTGTTTGTTGCAACATGCCGGGAGGGGTGCCTGGGTTGCTGGGGGTGCCTGGATTGCTCCGCAGGCGAGCCTACATGCAAGCCCCAGCCGCGGCGACAGCGGCGGCGCACAGGATGGCGGGCATCGAAAGAGCGTGGTGCTCCGGGTTCACGATGGCATGAACAAGAGCGCCGCCGCGTGCAGCCCTCCCCCCTGCCGCCTCACCCCACCCCGCCATGCCATACCATCTTGCCGTGGCGTTGCAGCGGACGTGCGGGACCTTGTGGCCGTATACAAGAACCCGCCCTATCCCATATTCTACGATGTTGTTCACCACAGCTTCGCACTGGTGGGTCTAAGCTTTGCACCGGTGGACTTGGTGTTGGGGGCGAAACAGGGCGCTGGGGACCATCGTGGCGTTGTAGAGTTCATGCTCAGAGGGAGTATTGGTAGGGCTGCTCGGGACGCGGCGATGCAGGCTGGGGAGAGGCATGGGGCACCTCCAGCACGCTGCAGGAGGCGCCGGAGGTGGGACGCATGGCGCGTGGAGTTTGCACGCGCAAACTGCCGCGAGTCGCTGTTGACGTCACCCCTGCAGGTGCCCATGCTGGCCAGTGGGCTCTATTACAAGTCCAAGTTTAGCAGCACGGTCCTGACATCCCTGATCACAGGTGCGAGCGGCCGGGGGGCAGCCGCTGGTGCAGTGTGCGCAGCTGCCGCTCGCTTTGCGATTGCTAACAGCTCTTGTGATCCACCTTCATATCATTTCATCGGTCCTCACACATCGGCCCTGCAATCGCGCCTTTATCACATACCGCTTCCCCTGCCTCAATTGTCCGTGTATCAAGACATTCCCCCACAACCCCCAGCCGCTCACCTCTCACCATTGCAATAATCTACCAAACAGGCGTTCCCATCATTGCGGATGAACGGATGCTGCAGGCCTACTCATTCCTGGAGCGCAAGGCGGTTTTCTACCAGGTGGGCTTGAAACTGTTTTCTAGGCACTGGGGCCGGGCGATGTGTGGCATGTGTCAAGCGATTAGCGGAGCAGCTGGGGTTATTCCAGCAAACAGTTGAAACAGCACACAAAACCTCATGATTTGTTGCTTGCGCCGCGCTTTTGCCCTCCGAACACATATGTTGACCCGCACCCGCTCAAAGTGACTACGGACTGGTGTCGTGCTTTCATATAGTAACACATCCGCCTTTGCGACCGCCGCCGCTGCAGGACGACTCCCAAACGGAGCTGGACGTTATGTTTGCAGTCAGCAAGATGAAGCCGGACGACATGTGGCGCGCGCGGTCCGGCGTGGCGGAGCTGCGCCGGCGCATGAACGAGCGCGCGAAGAAGATGATCACGGGCTGGCTGGAGGCCAAGGGCGTCGCAGTAGAGCCCGAGGAGGCGCGGCGGCTGCTGCTGCAGCGACGGCGAGACGTGCTTGCTGTGCCGGAGGGGCCGGCGGCGGGCGCGCTGGTGGCCGAGGGGCCGGGGTCGGTGCGGGAGGGCGCGGGGCGGGAAGGCGCGCAGGTGTGGCCACAGGTGCTGGGGCCGAGGGGTGACCCAGGGTCGGGGAACGTTGGACCAAGTGCGCAGCGGCAGCCGCAACAGGCGGGGGATGCGGCCAGCAAACCTCAGGCGTTTGACATGCACACGTTGCACGATGAAGTGAAGTAATGACTCAACAACGCGATATCGACACGGATGTAGCCAGCAGAAATGCGGGTTCGTGCCCCGTTTGCCCCTGAAACGATGTTCTTGAGGCGGTCTTGTTGTTTCTGCCTAGCTGCAGCATGGGAGGCAGGGAATCTGCTTGCAGGGGGCAGTCGGCTGCCGCGACGTCTTGGATGAGGGGCGCGACACCTTCGCATGTGAGGCTGCACGAACGCAAACCGCCGCACCTGGGCGGATTCTCAGCCCTTCCTTATAGTTACAGGCGGCTCTCAGTCAAAATACATCATGCACCTTGCCTTGTCTGGCCGAGGGGCAGCGTGCATCGTGTGGATGGCACTCGTGACGACAGGGACAGTGCAGGCGAGGCAGCTTTTTCTTAACAGTTTGTCTACAGATGTCGTTCTTGCTGAACTGATGCCTGACTCTTCCTCAAATCCATCCTTAATTTGGCCACATTTTCCAGCTGCTGCTGTGAGTCGGCCGGCATCGCCTTCACTCTCAACAAACATCGCAATCATCACTGTGGTCAATCCAGTCAACAAAGTTCGAGGCAATGCCAGCTTGCCTCCACTCTTTTTCAGAGTCTTTAAACACGAGATATGTGTTCAGTCACTTGAAAAATACCGCGTTGGTGTGATGACACGGCTGCCCGTGTCCGTCACGGGCATGCTGCTCCCCCTCAATGTTGAAAAAGACGCGCAAATAGTTTGATTTATTTCGTGCTTTGTGACTTCAAGATACCGCAGTCCGTTGTCGGCCCCCCAATCCTCGGAGCACTGGAGCGGTGCTGAAGACCCGCGCCTGCCTCGTCCCTCATCGCAACCATCGCCATTAGTACTGGATGCAAGAGTCAGATCACGATGGCCTTCACACTCTGGCGGGCAGTGTGCTTGAGGAGCCCCTCGCAACTCATGCCCTGGCCCTGGCCCCAGCTGGCCTCCTCTCCAGCGCCGCCAGCCGCCTCGGCCTGCCACCGCTGCAGAAGCTTCCTGCGCAGCGTTACGACAGCCCACAGCAATTTGCGGGGCTGCAGAGCGCCGCCCTCCTGCACGAGGTTGCGGCGCAACTGACTGCTGCCATGGATGGTGCCACAAGCAGCCAGCGATCGACGTGCGGCGTCGGCGGCTCGACCTGCTGGCAGGCAGAGGTGCTCGATGTCCGTCGCCCTAAACGACAGCAAGGCCGCGGCGATGACCGCGGCAGCAGCAGCTCCCTCATCGCGTCGCTGCGCCTGTGCGGCGCAGGTCCCCGTGGGGCGGCCGCGGCGGTTGCGGCGGCGCAGGGCGGCAGCGCGGAGTCGGAGGGCGGCGGCGCTGCCTCCGGCGGACCCAAGCCAACAGATTTGGTGCTGCTGTCGCAGCGGCCCCCATGGGAGGGCCTGGGCGTGGCGGGCAGCCACAGTTGCCTGGCTCTCCTGATCGGCAGCGGCGGCGGCGGGCCAGGGGGTGAACAGGCGCAGCCGGAAGCTGGTGGCGGGCAGGTTTTGGAGCTTCGGGCACGCGTGGACCTGCTGTGGGGGCCTGACGCGCAGGCGCAACCTATGAAGGCAGCCGACAACGAGCAGCTGCTCTTGGGACCTGCCCAAGGTGGCGCCAGCAAATGGTACCTGACGGTCCTCGCGCCCCTGGCGACGCCGTTGAGGGCGTGGGCCGCGCTGCAGGCGATCGCGGCTGAAGGCAGCAAGATCAACCGCTCCCCGGTCCTCCACGCTCTGATGGCATCGCGGCTGCCAAGCGCAGCCGCCGCCCAGGCGGCTCCTTGCGAGCGCGGCGCTGCGGCAATCCCCTGGGAGGATGGCGCACCGGCAGATGCGTTTGACACCTGGCCGCAGCGGCCGGCAGCGCCCGCAGCGGGCACAGCAGCGACTGTACGGCAGGGCCAGTGGCTGCAGGCGACGGCGGCCTATTGCCAGCGCCTGCTGTTGAACGAGTCACAGATGGCAGCTGTGATGGCTACAGCCGCATCTGTCGCGCCGCGCTCCGTCGGCGTGTGCGACAACGGCCGCGGCGGCGTGGGCGGCGCAGATGGTAGCTGCCGCGGCAATGGGGCAGCCGGCGGCGGCATCCAGCTGATCCAAGGGCCCCCAGGTGCGAGGACACATTTTGGAACCGGGGCAGGGGCGTGTATATGTGCAACAGGCGTCCGCGGCACCTGCTCCCAAACACCTGCTGCCCCGCACCAGGCACGGCTGGCGACCTCAGGGCGCCGCAAGACTCGTGCTGTGTAGCCCGATTGATTGTCCCAGCTTCCACAAACATCTGAAACAAGCAACTCCTTGCGCTACACAATATAAGGCACAGGGAAGACTGCCACCGTCGCCCCGCTCATCGTGGCGCTGGCAGAGGGCGCGGGCCAGCAGCTGCTCGTGGCCGCCCCAACCAACGCCGCCATTGCGGAGGTCGCGACCCGTGTCCTGCAGATGCATGGCAGCGGCAAGACTATGGCGGCCCTCCTTGCCTCGTCCCCAGAAAACGACCAGCGAGAGCAGCAGCAGCAGCAGCAGCAGCAGCAGCAGCAGCAGCAGCAGCAGCAGCGGCAGCGGCAGCAGCAGATCACGGCAGAGCAGCTGGCAGCGCGCGAGCAGGCGCCACCCGAGGCAGAGCTGTCGGAGCTGCAGGCGTTCGCGCTCCGGCTGCACGAGCTCCATACCTCGTCGGTCGTGCTGGTCAACAGTGCTTCCGCGGACGTCTTTGCAGAGGCAGTCAACGGCATCGCGCTGGCGCCACGGCTGGAGCGGCTGCTGGCGGCGCTGGGGCCGCAGGGGTGGGGCGAGCGCGCGCGCGAGCTGCTCGCATTCCTGGCCGCCGCCGACACGAACTATGAGAGGTGGCGAGCCGATCAGCAGGACGGAGTGAGCACGCGCCAGGGCGAGGGAGCCCAGCAGGCTGCGGATGGTGGCTTTTGGTGGTGGGCGCGCGGCGAACTGCAGGCGCGCCTGGGCAGCCTGGTCGAGGCGGGGGCTGTCGTGCTGGCAGATGCCCCGAGCGCCGTGCTCAAGTCTGCAGGCGCTCGTCAGGTGCGTCATGGAGAGGACATCAACCCGTGCGATGCTGGGCGTTTTAGGATGCCATACCGTTGTGATAAGTCAGTATAGTGCGTTGATGTAGCACGAGATCCGACTTGATCTGACCGACGGTGTGAACTCCAGCACGCACCTGATGTGCACTCACGTGCGTTTTGATCTCTCCGTAGGCCCTGATCGACCTACAAGACGCTGCCGACGGGCTGCAGTTGGTTTTGAATCAGCAGGCGACCCCGCTAGGTCCACGTGCCAGTCAGCAGCTGGCAGGATGGTGGCGGAGCAATCTGGGTGCCCAGCCCCTGGACATCGCAGCCGCACCATCACCAGCAGCGACAGAGCCCCCCAGCAAGGGGCTGGGACCCCTCTGCGGCGCGCTGCTGAGTCTGCACGCTCGGCTCCGCGGCGCGCGCGGCCGGCTCGACGTGCCGCCCTCTGTCGCCCTCGCGCGCCCATCCGCCTTCAGGGACCTGCAGATCCTCGTGCTGCGCTCCGCCTCAGTTGTGTTTGCCACCGCCTCCATGGCCGGCAGCGCGGCGGTCGCGGAGGCCACCCCCCAATTCAACGTCTGCCTGATTGACGAGGCGGCTCAGCTGGTGGAAGCAGAGACGGCCATCGTCCTCAACGCCGCGCCGGACGCGCAGCGGCTCATCCTTGTGGGGGACCACCACCAGCTGCCGGCCACGGTCATCAGCCGGGACGCAGAGGCCGCTGGCTACGGGCGCAGCAGCTTTGAGCGGCTGGCGGGCTGCGGCTTTGGGTGGGTGCCGTTGCCTGGGCTGGGTGGGCGATTGCGCTTCTGGCGGCTGACGCTGGAATTAGTGAAACGGCCCCCTGGACCAGTGCGTGCGCCTAGCATTGAGTGACAGCTGTTTTGCCATCCATACACGCCGACGCTTCCCTGCCCAGCGATCTCAGCACACCTCTTCTCACACAACGCCTGCGTCCCTCCGCGCAACTCAGGGTCAGCCTGCTGCTTGAGCAATACAGGATGGCGCCCCAGATCAGCGCGTTCCCCAATTCATGCTTCTATGCCGGCCGCCTCGTGGACGCCCACAACGTGCGGCAGCCCGGCTGGCAGCTCCCCGCCCTCGAGGCGCCCCGCCTGCTGGGCGCCTACGCGTGCGTCGACGTGCGGCACGGGAAGGAGGAGAGGCAGCCCGACGGCGGCGGCAGCTGGTTCAACGAGGCGGAGGCGGACGTTGTCAGGGGGCTCGCGGCGGCAGCGAGCAAGGCGGCTGACGGGAAGGTCTCGATCGGCGTGATCAGCGGCTACCGGGCGCAGGTGCGCCCCCGGCGGCCGCTCCGGCGCCACGGGGGCCTTGCCCTGGGAATTGTGCGGTGTGTGCGTCGTGGGGTTCGTCTCAAATCCCCGATGCATCCTTACAGGCCTCCATCTTGGAACCCTCACCCGCGGCGCCCTGCCTTGTTTCGCGCACAGGTGGATCTGCTGGAGTACAGGCTCGGCGGCATCAGGGGCGTGCGTGTCAAGACGGTCGACGGCTTCCAGGTGCGGCAGTGCTCCCGGAGCTTCATCTGAAAGATATGCACAAGTATCTTCAGAATGATTGTTTATGATATTATGAAATGTGTGTTTGGCGCGGAAACGGGACGATGAGGTGCTCTTGATCCCTGGCTTTAGCTCCTACGCATCAGCATGGCAACATGGGATCACATGGGGCGAACGGCACCTCTGAGCCCCCTGGTGCTGCATCCTTCTTGCTCCGCCCTGCCCTTCTCGAGTGCCACTGCACCCCTCCCGCTCATGCCGCCTCCCATCGGCGCTCCCTGCCAAGCCCCTCGACGCGTCATCCCCTTACTTGACCCGCGAACCCCCCTGCACCCCCTCAGGGCCGCGAAGATGACGTCATCATCATCAGCTGCGTGAGGAGCAACGCCCGGGGCGTCATCGGCTTCCTCCAAGACTACAGGTCAGTGAATGTATACAGGTGCAGGAGGTCATGTTAGAGCCTGCAGGGAAGTTCAGAGGTTACTGGGGGCGCAGCCGCTGCCCCCGCCGCCGCCGCCATTGCAGCTGCTGCCGCCGATGCCGCTGCTGCCGCAGCCCGCTGTTGCTGTGGCGACCCGCTACTGCTGCGGCCGGCACTGCCGCTGCTGCTCCTGGTGCTGCTCACGTCCACTTGTGACAATCTAGAGGAAATCGCGCCGCCGCCCGCTTGTTGGTGCACTGCAGGCGGATGAACGTCGCGCTCACCCGCGGCCGCCACGCCGTGTGGGTGGTCTGCCACGCTGCCACGCTGCTCCAGTCCAAGGACCGCCACTGGGGGCAGCTGCTCGCCGACGCGTCCGCCCGCGGCTGCCTGGTCAACGCCGCGGCCCACCCGCGGCTGCAGGAAGTTGTGGCGCGCGCCGAGGCCGGGCGCAGCGAGCCCTTCTCTGAAGAGCGGATCCGCAGGCTCACGCAGGGCATGTGGACTGTGAGTGCGCACGAAGGCAGTAATTTGCTAAGGGCTTCCTGGACGCTTTGCTGCCTTGCTGGCTCCCCACGGCGCCTGCATTTCATTGGCCAGCCTGTGCGTCTTGCCAGCCTGCGACAAACATACAAGCTTCACCGCCAAACCCCCTCCTCTCCTTCCCCTCTTCTCTGACTCTGCTTTTACGATATTCCTCTTATTCTCATAGGTCAAGGCGTCCGCAGACTTCTGTCGCATCCACCTGCCGGCCTGTCCCAACTCGGCGCCCTTTTACACGCGCCAGCTGGCGCTGCGGCTGCTGCAGCTGCTGGCGGATGGCGAGGAGCCGCAGCGGTGCGAGCGGCAGGCGCCGCTCGTGCTGGGGCCAGAGGAGCCGCACGCCGACCTCATCCGTGCCCACATGCTCGGCAGGGGCGCCGCGGCGCGGTGGCTGGTCTGGCACGTGTCGGTTGATAAGGCGACGCGCAAGCAGGTGTGACTGGCGTTTTAAGGGCGGGGTCGGAGCGTCCTCCGCGCGCCTCATCAAGCTGCAAGGCGCACTGCTGCATGCAAAGCCCTGCCGCCCTCACATTACATTGCGACCCTCCTCTTCATCTGCATCACGTGCACATCCAGTGTGCAGCACTGACGCCAAAGCCCCTTTCCGGACGCATGGTCTGCCCCGCCGGCGCCTCTGCTTGCATCCCACCCTCCCCTGGCACTGCGCCGCCCGCCGCTGACCCTCGGTTCGCCGCGCCGCACCGCGATGCAACTGTATCGGGGCCTCTTCAGTTCATGCTGGTGTATGCGCTGGTGGAGGGCGACCAGCTGAAGGCCTACCTGCGGCGCCTCGCCCGCACGCTCGACCTGTACAGCGACCCCCTGCTGCAGCGCTGCCGCGCCGCCTCCTTCAACGCCGCCGGGCGCCGCGTGCCGCTCTCGTGGCCGGACGACCCCGGGTTCGTCTGGCGCCTGTCAGCAGACCAGCGCGCCGCCCGCGGCGCCGCGCGCGCGGCCGAGGGCGCGGCGCGCGCTGCCGCGCTCGCGCGGGAAGGCGCGGAGGCGGAGCAGGGGCTGCAGGCGCTGAAGCTTCTGGAGATGGACGAGACCCTCTGCTCGGTTCTGGCCGCGCGGCTGGCCGGCGGCACGGGCGCGGCGCCGGTGGAGGTGCCGTTTGCGCTCGCAGAGGGCCAGCGGGAGTTTGCGGACTGCACTGGGTCCGCCATGGCGATCGGGCGCAGCGGCACGGGGAAGACGACGGCCCTGGAGAATAAGATGTGAGCAGGGGCGCGCGGGGCTGCGAATTCAGCAGGTTTACAAACGGGGTTGGTTTCTAAGTCTCGATGATGCCAGTGGTGGCCGGCATCCTTGCAATCAACGCGTGCCTGCTGCATGGGGGATGAGTGCGCGTAGTTGCAGGGTGAGCACATTGAATCTTCGTGTGCTTGCCACGCTGCTTGAACAATCCTTCTGCTGTTGATGAGGCCACCAGGCTGCGCAAAGAGCAATTTGCCTCACCCACGAAGTGACCCCAATCAGTAGCGCCTCACGCACCCGCATGCCCGCGCCTTGCGCCACGCCTGCGCCAGGTGGGACCGCGAGCGCCGCGCCCGCGCCCTGCAGCTCGAGCAGCGGCCGCGCCAGGTGCTGCTCACCGCCAGCCCGCGCCTCGCGGCCGCGCTCACGCAGCACGTGCGCGCGATGATGCAGACGCTCGCGGACGCCGACCGAGCGCAGCGGCGCGAGCCGGCCGCTGGGGCCTCGCCTGGCGCGCCCGCGTCGCCAGCCACCCAGCAGGGCGCGGCGCCCGGCGGGGCCGCGACGGGTACAGGCACGCCCCCGCAGATGCTTGACAATTACGGGGTGCAGCAAGCCCTGGGCGGCGTCCCTGCGCGGCTGGGCGACCTCGGGCCGCAGCACTTCCCCCTCGTGATGTCATTCGAGATGCTGCTCGACCGTATGGACGCGCAGCTTCCGCGCCCCTTCCTGCCGCCGGGCGACCGCGAGCGGCTGGCCGCCGCGGAGGTCCGCCTGGAGGCGTTCTCGGCAGCTTATTGGCCGCGCATCGACGAGGCCCTGCGCCGCGGCGCCGGCGGTGCTGCGCTCGTGTGGGCGGAGGTCAGCGGGCAGATCAAGGGCAGCCTCGCGGCGCTGGAGGGGACGGCGGGGCAGCTGACAGAGGAGGAGTACCTCACGCTCGCCGACACGCGGCGTGGCGCGGCGCTGCCGCGCGCGCGCCGCGTGGCGGTGTACGGCGCATACAAGCAGTACCAGCGGCTCAAGATGGAGGCGCGCGGCTGGGACCGGGCCGAGCGCGTGCGTCACGTGTACCAGGCGTTCGCGGAGGCGGAGGCGGCGGGGGCGCCGCTGCTGCCGGCGGCGCGGCGGGCCGGGTACGTGTACGTTGACGAGGTGCAGGACTGCTCCATCGCTGAGCTGGCGCTGCTGCGGTGGGCATCTTCCGCAGTCAAGGGGTTTGGAAAGTGGGATGGGGAGGGGAGGGGGGCGGGGCGCCCCTCGTCTCCAGGAGCCGGACGCCTTGTGCGGTGACTGACCGCGCAGGGGGATACCAGGAGGGGAAGCCAGGGGCCGGATGTTGGACGCGCAAGGCTCCGAAGCTTTGGTCACCCTTACGTATCGTGGCCCTGGCCTGAGCTCGTGCCCGGCGAACAGCTCACGCCCTGATCTCTGCCGTGTCCCTTGCGCCCCTCACCCTCTCCCCACCACGGCTGCCGCGCAGCTTCCTCTGCACCAACCTGGAGACGGGCTTCACGCTGGTGGGCGACACCGCCCAGGCCATCGCCCAGGGCGGCAGCGTCTTCCGGTTCGAGGTGGGTGCCAACAATCAACCCATGCCTCGGCGCGTGCCTGCGGTCACAACGGCTGACCGGGCGCCGAGTGACAGCCCAACGCGGCTGCAGCGCACGCCTCCAGCTGCTGGTTGCTGACAGGGCCAGCCGAAGGCCCCCATTCAGGCAGGCCTCTGTGATCGCGTTGCGACAGCCAGCCCTCATCCTGCATCGCCCCTGCCATCCGTTGACAAGGCGATGAGAGACGTGTTCCATGAGATGCAGCAGCGAGCGCTGGATGCAAGCGGTGGCGGCGGCTCTGGCGGCAACGGCGGCGGCGGCCTGGAGCGCAGGTCGATGCCGGCCCCGCGGGTCTTCCAGCTGACGGAGAATTACCGGTGGGCCGTGACGGCGGGCGACGCGAAACGCCAGCTGCTTTTTGTATCCCAACGGGGCGGCTCTGCAGAGCGTTGGTGGCTGTCCTTGCATGAGCCAGCCAGCAGTACGCCAATGCTTGCTGTCCCATGATCTGAGACTGCTGTCTGCCTCTCCCCAGGGCTCCAACCTCTCAACTGCGATCCCAGTGCTGACCGTTGCGCACTGTCGCCCCCACATGTCCGCCCCGCAACTCAAATTGCCGGCGCCAAAGGACCGGGCAGCGCATCGTGAACCTGGCGCACCACGCCGCGATCGCGCCGCTGCTGTCTTTATTCCCGGCCTCCCTCGACAAGCTGCAGCCCGAGACCTCCCCGATCGACGGCGACACCCCCATCCTCCTCGCCGCTGGCGCCGACGACCCGCTGCAGGCGCTTTTCCGCCCCCAGCAGCCCTCCCCTGCCGCGGCCGGCGCGGCCGGCGGCGGCCGCGGCGCGGCGCAAGGCGGCGCTGCGGCCGGCGGCGAGGAGGGGCCTGCGGTGCAGTTTGGGGCGGAGCAGGTCATCCTTGTCTACGGCGCGGCGCGCCAGCAGGAGGTCCAGCAGCTGGTGGGCGATGCTGCGCTGGTCATGACCGTGCAGGAGTCGAAGGGGCTCGAGTTCAAGGTGAGGAAGTCGGAGAGGCGGTGCTGCTGGGAGCCAGGGGCAAAAGGCAGGGCTGCGTCGCTCCAATCGGCTGCCACTCATCACCGCGCACCATTGCCTCTGACGGTGCACGACGACGCAACCCCGCCTGCAGTTCGTCCTGCTCTATAACGTCATCTCAGACGCCCGCTTCGCTGCGTGGCGCGTGCTGTACACCTACATGCGCGAGCTGCTGCCCGCCGGCACTGCGTCAAGCCTGCCAGCGGGCCCGGCGTTTGACGCGCACCAGCACCACGAACTCATGGGGGACCTGAAACAGGTGTGCATCGCATGCAGACTGATGGGGGAGGTGGTGAACATGATAAGTGGTGCCTCAACGAGCTGAGGGACTGCACGGTCTGTTTGTCCAGGGCTTCGGCTTGATGTGCGCGCGCATGCATGTGCATGAACGCGTGCGCATGTGCACGCATGTGCTCGCATGTGTGCATGCATGTGCCCGCAGTGAACGGCATGCGCGCACCTGCCCCGCCGCATGGCCCCCCCGCTTGACCCATGGTGGCACGCATGTACTGCCCCAGCCGGCGTTCAGCCTCATACACTGCTAGCTAGGTGCCAGGCCCGTCCCTCACAGCCACCACACTGCCGCCCCAACCCGTGCGATCACAGCTCTATGTGGCGATCACGCGCGCCATGTGTGACCTGGTGTGGTATGAGGGCGACGAGGCCCGCATGGCGCCGATGCGCGAGCTGCTCGCCCACTTCGCGCTCGTGGAAGAGCGGGCCATGGACGAAGACCTGACGCGGCAGCTGCTTCGCAGCAGCAGCCCGGAGGAGTGGCGCGCGAAGGGGCGCCAGCTCTTCACCCAGGGCCAGTACGCGCGCGCGCGCCAGTGCTTCGTGCGCTCGGGAGACAGGGACCTGGCGATGTGGGCGGCGGCGTGCGACAAACAGGAGCAGGCGGGTGCGGCGCGGGCCAGGGGCGGCAGCGAGGCCGACGGCCTGTTCGCAGAGGCGGCCGAGCTGTTTCTGGCGGCCGGCCAGGCGCCGCAGGCTGCTGAGTGTTACGAGGCCGGGCGGCGCTGGGCGGACGCGGCGCGCATTCACTGCGAGCGCCGCTCGCCGCCCGACTGGCGGGCGGCGGCGCGCTGTCACGAGCTGGCGGGCGCGTGGGGCGCGGCTGCAGGCGCACACGAGCGCTGCGCGCTGGCGCTCGGCGGCGGGGCCGCGGCAGGGGATGCCCCGGCTGCGAGCATGGGTTCTGAGGCACGGGATCTGCAGGCAGCTGCGGGGCAGCTGCTCCATGTTGAGCGCGCGCTAGCCTGCTGCCTCGAGGGAGGGGACAGCAGTTGTTATGATCGAGGCCTGCAGATGCTCGATGAGTTGCTGGCAGGTGCGGGCGCGAGCCATGGCGGGAGCGACTCGGGCGGCGGCGGCGGCGGGGGCGATGGGGCCGGCTTGTCGCTGGACGGCGCCCTGCAAGGCGCGGACGGCGGCGCGTCTGGCTCAGGGGCGGCCGCGGGCCCTGGCGCGGCGGCTCAAGCCGCTGGCGCCGATGGAGGGCGCATCGCAGACGGCACGCGGCCACCGCCGATGCCGCTGCCGCCGGCGGCGGCGGCGGCGGCGGCGTTTGGAGCGGCCCCGAGCTCGGGCCTGGGACGCCGCCTAGCGGAGCTGCGGCAGCTCTACTTATATCTTGGTGCCCTCGCCTGGCACGCGCGCGGCGAGCGGCGCCGCATGCTGGATTGGCTGCTGCGCCTCGACAGCACGGCGCGCCAGCGGCGCTTCCTGTCCAGCCGGGGGTACCTGGACGAGCTCGTGGACGTGGAGGAGGCCGCCGGCAACTACTGGGCAGCTGCTCAGGCGAGTGCCAAGGGGGTTGGGCGAACAACTGCGGATCGTGGCATGCTGATCGATCGGGCGCGGCCGGCACCTGCGTCGGCGGTAGTGTCGGTGGTGGATTTTTATGCACTGTATCCTTGCCCTGCAGACAAGGCATGTGGCACGGCCTGCAGGGCTTAAGAATGTTCTCATGCGCTCGCCACACGCCGCCCCTGCGCAGGCGCACCTGGCCAAGGGGGCCCTGGATGCGGCAGTGCTCGCATACCTCAAGGGAGACCACCAGCTGGCAGCTGCCCGGCAGCTGCTTGACCTGGGGGCGCTGCAGCTGCTCTGGCCGCCTCCGGCCCGGGGCAACCAGGGTTCCGGTGGCGCCACGGGGCTGTGGCAGCCCGCCTCTAGCAAGCAAGCGTCGGGCAACCTTAAGCGAGCCGAGGGGCTGATCCAAGCACTGATCGACCAAGGCAGCGGCGGCGCCGCGGCCGCCAGGGCTGGCGCCGCCGCAGACGGCATGGCGGCGCCCCAGATGCAGGCGCTCTGCTCGGCGCTGTTGGGGCTGCCCGCTGCCTGCGAAGCAGCCAATGGCAACTGGGACACAGCCGAGCGGCTCTGGCGGCACCTTGACTCCAGCGGGCCGACGGCGGCCGAGGTGGGCAGCGCGCGGTGCGACGTGGAGGGGGCGCGCCTGCTGCGAGCGGTGGTCAGCGGCGGCGTGGTGGCGGCCGCCAGCGCGGAGCTCTCGGGCATCACGTCAGCGGCCGCCACCGCGGGCGACACGCCCCGGGGCCTAGCCGGGGCTCTGGAGGGCGCGGCGCGGCTCCTGCAGTGGCTGGACTTGTGGTGGCGCCGCGCGAAGGACAGCCATGGCGCGCTGCACGCGGCGCTGTCGGCGGCGGCGCAGCGGCGGCTGGCGCCCTCGGACGCGGCGTGGCTCGCCGGCTGCTGGCGGCTGCTGGGCCTGCGGCCCCACGCGGCGGAGGGGGGCGTGCTCCTGCTCCTGCCGGCGGCGCGCCACCTCTCAGCGCGGGGGCGCGGGGGCGGCAGCGCGGCCGCGGCAGGCCCGGCGCTGCCGTGGCTGCCAGCAAGCTGCTTGGTTGCGCTGGCGGACGGCACCTGCGGGGTCACCCTGACGGACGCAGCTAATCACGCGGATGCACTGATCCGCCAACGCATGGAATCACTGGCCAGCGGCGTGGCGGACGCCGTGGGGTTGCTGACAGGCCTCACCAGCCCCGCCTCGTACTGGCCGCCACCGCAGACAGGCGCCGCAGCCGCGCAGGCGACTCCGCCACGGGCGCCGGCCGCCCTCGGCTGCGACGCGGCGGCGCTGCAGCGCGACGCGCTGCGGGGCCTGCTGCCGGCGGGCGCCGCGGCCGAGGACCTGGACAAGCGGATCAGCGGCTGCGCGCGCGACCTGCTAGGGCAGCTGCTGCCCCCCATCTGGCTGGCCCAGGATTTCCCGCAGCTCCTCTCCCGCTTCAGTGCCTGCTACCATGACGGTGCCTCCAGCGGCGGTCCCTCCAGCGGCGGTGCCTCTAGCGGCGGCCTCTCGGCCGCGCTCGCGGAGGCGCTGGAGGGTGCTCTGACGGGTCCCACGCGGCTGCTGCCGTTCGAAAAGCCGTCCGCCCAGGCGGCGGCCGCCGCGGGCGAAGCTGCGCGGCAGCTGCAGGCCGCCGGGTGCAACCCCCGCTTCGACCTCGCGCACGCCGCGCTGGTGCTGCTGTGCCTGCCGCACCTGCCGCGCGGCTCGTGGCGCGCCCTCGCGTCCGTGCCGGCCCACCCGCCGGCCGCCGCCCAGCAGCAGGCGGGCCCAGGTGGCATCGCGGCTGCGCCTCTCACGGCGATTCCCAGTGCAGCTGTCGTTTCGATTGTGGCAGCCTGGCAGCTGCCGGGTGCGTTTGCGCTGTCTGCCCTGTTCAACTCGGTGTGGTGGCTGGACAACGGGCTGACCTCATCGCCGGCGGAGTGGCAGCAGGCGCGGCTCGCCGCGCGAGCGCCCGGCGCGCCGCCGCAGCCTCTGCCGCAGCCGCACTTCCACCACGCCTGGTGGCTGGCGGAGGCCGCACACGAGCTGTGGCGCGTCGACGGCTGGCGCGACCTGCGCGGCTACCCGAGCCCCGCGCTGCTGCTGGACCTGCTGGAGCGCGCCGCGGCGCTGGGCTGCGCGCTGGTGCGGCGCCTGCATAACATTGAGCTGCCCGCGGGGCTCGTGCTGGCCTGCCTCGGCCCCTCAGGCCAGCTGCTGTCGTGGCTGCTGGCTACGAACATCAGCAACAAACAGAAGGCAGACCTGCAGGCGAGTGGGCCTGTTGGTTGAATTTTACAAACCACGCCTGGCAATTGCCAATGCACCCTGGTGTGGCTTTCCTTCTTGAGTGTGCGGGCGTGACAAGGAGGCGTAGCAGCTGCTGCAGCACACCATGAGAGGTGGATGGGGCGAGGGGCATTCAACGTACAGTACCTACCAGAAGGTGGCTGCGTGCAGATTTGTTCTGCACGGGAACGAAGGCTGAGGTGCACACACCACTCCCCACCTTGTGTGTCCCTTGCCGCCCTGCTTTCAGGGATCTCTGTCAAAGCTGGTGGTCGTGGCCTCGCAGCTGCTGCTGATGCCACTGGACGACCTGGGGGCCTGGGTGAAGCGCAGCGGCCTCAAGGAAGACCACTGGCCCGCGACCGTCATTACGCGCGCCGCCGTGCTGCTGCTGGTACTGGCCGCCAACGCGCCGCACGACAGCGCGGCCGGTCCGGCTGTGTGGGCCCTGCGCTCGGCGCGCAACCGGCCCCTTGTGCCGGGGCTTCGCAACCCCGTCGCGCGCCTGCTGCTGTCGCCACACGCGCTCGGCGCCGGCGGGCGCGCCGGCGCCGTCGACGCCCTCGTGCAGCTGTGCCGGGGACTGGGCGGCGAGGCCGTCGTGTCCCTCTGCAGGGCTGGCTCGTACCCACCGCCGCGCGGCGTGCGGCTCGTGCGCGTGGACGATGGTCACTGCTTCAGCTTGGCGGAGCTGGGTTATGGCAGCCGCGGCCCAGCGAGCAAGCAAATCGATCGCGGAGGGAGCAGTCAGCAAGAGGGGCGCGGCCAGGAGGATGGCGTCGCCGCAGCAGAGGGGGATGGCCAGGAGGGCGACCCCGGGGACGAGGAGGGCGACGCGGCCGGCGGCGGCGGCGGCGGCGAGGGCGGGGCGGCGGCGGCGCCGCAGGAGGCGCAGGACGGCGGGGAGGGGCTGCGGCAGGCGGTGCTGCGGATACGATTTCGGCGCCGGCTCAAGGCGTGGCTGGCCAGGGCACGGGAGATGCTGCACCTGGTGGGTGGTTGGAGCCGCGGTGTATACGGCGGCGGGCGGGGTTATCACGGCAGCACATTGGTGGCGGCTTACTGGTACGCCTGCTTTAGGGGCCTGGCTCAACACCGCCATTTGATAGTTGCTCGGGAAGCCCATGGCTTATCAAAAGCAACAGGCTCCTCAAGTTGCAATTGATGCGTGCCCGCCCCCACAGGCGGATCTGCCTCGGGTGCGGCGCCTGCAGCTGCTGGCCGCCAGGGCGTTCCGGGCGCAGGGCCTGGAGGGAGGGCGCTACCTGGAAGCCTTCATGCTGCAGGCCTGCCCTGCGCACGTAAGTGGCAGGAATGGGACCGGCGGCCGTGCATCACATGTGCTTGCAGGCTTGGTCGTGTCTCTTGATGTCAGTCGGCCATACCCACGCAATCATAATGTTTTCAAGCGTGAGCAGTTGAAAGAAGGCAGCAACGCCTTCACAAACTGTACGCAATCACCTCTTGCAGGCGGCAGCAGAGGAGCTACTGGAGTCGCTGTCGTCCGCTGTCGTCCACCTCAAAGCCGGCTCTCCCAAGAGTAGCAAAGGGCTGGCCCTCGCCCCCGCCACTGCCGCGCGGCGCGCGCCGCGGCGGCCACCCCCCTCAGAGGGCGCAGCCGCCACGGGCGGCTTCGAGCCGGGGAGCTGGGACGGGTGGGCGGGCCTGCGTGAGGCAGGGGTGGGCGGAACCGCCGACGAGTTGCTGCTGGATGAGGTGCTGGACGCACAGGAGGCGCTGCCCAAGCTGATGGCGCCGCTGGACCCCTGGTGCGGCGGGGCTTCAAATGGGATGCAGACAGGCTGGTAGTGCGAGCTGCTTCGAGAAAGGCGGCTGCATCCTGGGGGCTTTGCACCTGGGGGAAGAGATTTGCGGGCACTCAAACAAGGGTGATTTCTGGATGAACTTGGCGTTTTGGTTCCTGCTGCCCTCTTCAAACTTTTGCACGCTCGCGTCTCCCACCCACCTGGCAGGGACCCGGGCCACGCGGCGCGTTGCCGTGCGCGCCTGGCGTCGGCAGTGGAGCTACTGCAGGCTCAAGTGGCCGCCATGCGCCTGAAGCTGGCGCGGGTGCTGACGTAAGCTGGCACGGCTTCAGTTGATGCGGGACGCAACAAGTGCTGTTAGCTACGCAAGAGATGCCACGCATGACAGAGGTGTTTCACATGTTTTGAAACATGCGTTGCCAGACCTGCTGTGCAGTTGGAGTTCTTGAACCGGTTGACCATGTATATATCACCCCTAGCTATCCTGCCTGGCTTTGGGGTAAGCCAGTGAATGCTGGGCATCCAAGCAATCTAGCTGATGAGGCCCGCGCCAAGAGCTGGGTTCCTTGGATCGGAAGGTTTTGCTGACCCACTGATCAATGCAGCCAAAGCCATATCTTTTGAGTGGACATGAGCTTTGCCATGTGGCCCTCGGGCCTGTTGATTGCACATCGCCGTCCTGTCTGTCAATCCATTCATCAACCCCTGCCATCGGCAGTCCAGCAGGAGCAATGTTGTGATCACCGGCACCACAAGTAAGCAGCACCCAGAGCCTGGCCCAAATGTGGGCCAAGTGTGCAGCAATCAAAGGATCCAGACCCGGCGAGTTTTGTGCGCCATGGTTCAAAACACCAAGTGACGCACTGTGATGCGAGCAAGTAGTGCCAGGTGGTTGGGACCTTCGACAGCTGTTCCGGAACGCCCGGCCTGCAGTGCCGCAGGGACTGCTACCCACTCTTTGGTGCTTTTTACGTTGTACAACCCGTGTAAGGGGCCGGCAAGGCCGATGCTGACGGGGCGGCGGCGGCGGCAGCAGGATTGCACGCTGTTGAGTGATATCGACGTCGGCGGCACCCAGGCCAACTTGCTAGCACGCCCCGGCCTGTTGCTGTTTTCAAGTCGGTGATTTCCAAGACTTTTCCTGCGACCACCGCGCTCGTTTTGCTGCGTCCATCACATCACGGTCGTCAACAGGTCGGCAGTGGCTCGACCCACTGGCTTGGAGCCATCTTGCCGGTTTTCCATCTCGGACGTAGTTTCTCACTAGCCAACATGCAGACCGTGAGGAGCAGCCGCCTGCGTGTGCAGCGCGTCCAGGCAGTGGCTGTGCCGTCCAAGCCGCCCACCTCGCGCCTGGCCAAGCGGAGCAAGGTGGAGATCATTAAGGAGCAGAGCGACTACTTGGTGAGCAGCGGGTCATGTGCCACTACGCCACTCTGCTTTGCGCCGTGCCGCTGCACTGCTGCTTGCCGAGCCGTCACACCCGCTTCCCTCAAATACATTCCGCGAGCGTCCCGCCGCGTGTGCGAGTTGTCTGTCTTTCATAAATATGCTTGCTGCCGAGGGATGGCACCGCAGGCAGTTTGATTCGGTCATTCATCGAACCCTGGCGTTGGACCCTCGTCAGTGGCCTGCAAGTGCCCGTGCGCCATGCATGCCTATGCGCCATGCACGCCCATGCGCCATGCACGCCCATGCGCCATGCACGCCCATGCGCCATGCACGCCCATGCGCCATGCATGCCCATGCGTGTGCCCGCAGCGCCACCCCCTGATGGAGGAGCTCGTGGACGACAAGACCTTCATCAATGAGGAGGCCATGCAGCTGATGAAGTTCCACGGCAGCTACATGCAGGTGTGTGGTTTTCGAGCTCGCAGTCGGAGCCGGGGCGCGCTGGTTGCTCCCCAGCACTGGTGGAGTGCGCGGCTGGGGCGCATGCTGGGCGCGCCGCAGGCCAGCCAGTGCCGGCAGGATGTGTGCGGTGCAGCTTCTGAAACGGCTGCACAGAGATGGCAGCACATCGCTCAAGTTGGCAGCGGGATGCGTCTGGAGCAGGTTTCCAAAGTCAGCGAGTAATTCCAAGGACGGATTATTGGAGCCTCGGCGCGACGGTGAACACGCCGGCGCGGCCTCAGCCTCGCCTGTGCCGCTGACGATCGCCCCCGTCCCGCGCATCTGCCCCGCCTTCCAGGACCAACGCGAGAAGCGCGCGTTTGGTCAGGGCAAGTTTTACCAGTTCATGATGCGCACGCGCCAGCCCAGCGGCCTGGTCACCAACAGGCTGTACCTGGTGATGGACGATCTGGCCGACAAGGTGCGGGGCTGCGGCGCTGCCTGCGTGCCTCCTGCTCTTCATAGTGTTTGTACAAGTGTTGCCCGAGGGCTTTGGATGCTTGCAGTTTGCGTGAGCGGGGCTTTGGCGGAGGGGACGCGGAGGGGGAAGCTGCTGGGTTGATTGGTGGTCGGTCACCATCGTGAGCTGGGGCGTGGCTGGATTTCGGCTGCCCGACGACGGCAAGGTGGACAAAGCGTGGAAGCTGGGGGAGTGGTAAAAAAGTGGTTGCAACTTTGTCAGCCACGACCTCCCTCAAGCTTCTGACTTTGATTTGTTTTTGCGAGTATCTGCGGCCGCGTCCAGTCCCCCCATACTCTTTACTCCCCCCCCCCCATGCACAAGCACCCGCGTGCGGGGCGTGCGTACAAACACTTGCATGGCTAACCCCACACATAAAACAAGCCGGTGCTTGCAGGCAGCACCACCCCGCCCTCAACCCCCGCCCTTCACACCCCACCCAAAACCCCGCAGTACGGCAACGGCACCCTGCGCCTGACGACGCGCCAGGCCTACCAGCTTCACGGTGTCCTCAAGACTGACCTCAAGACTGTCTTCTCCACCGTGATCAAGAACATGGGTGAGCGCCCCCTGCTTCTCTACCGCCCCCGCACCCATGAACGCAAAGGCTCTGTCAAAGGCTCTGGCCTCGCCTCTGCGCAGCTGGCTGCTTTTGGCTGTGCAGCATTCGCCTCGAGCATCGCAACCGGGGCCATGTGGGGTCTCACAGCTGCTTGCGCTCCACAAGCCGCAGCGGCGAGAGCCGCTTCCGCTGTGCCGCGTCGGCCTCCCAGCAGACGCCCAGCGACGACCCACGCCCCTCGTTCTCAAAGCCCCTGGCCTCGCATCACCGCGCAGGCTCCACCCTGGGCGCGTGCGGCGACGTGAACCGCAACGTGATGGGCCCTGCGGCGCCCTATGTGAACCGCCCGGAGTACGTGCTGGCGCAGCAGTACGCCAACGACTTTGCGGACCTGCTGGCGCCGCAGGTGCGTTTGTGTGTTAGTGTGTGTGTTTGTGTGTCTGTATGCGTGTGTGTGTATGTGTGTGTGTGTGTGTGTGTGTGTGTCTGTATGCGCGCGTGTGTCTGTGTGTCTGTGTGTGTGTATGCGTGTGTGTGCGTGTTTGCGTGTGAACGAGAGAGAGAGAGACAGACAGACAGGCGTGTGAGTAAGTGTGTGACAGGGGTGTGTAAGTGAGTATTAGAGCGGGTTGTTGTGATCATGAGCGACAGGTGTAATCCGTGGGGTTATGAGTGTGTGTGTATGTGTGTGTGCCACGTAGAGTTTTTGTGTTTTTGAGGGGAGCGCTTTCAACCACAGGGCGGCCACTCCCAGGCATGGAGTGTAGATGGTCACCCCCGACAAAGCCTCTGCTGTCGCCCCGCACAACCGCAGAGCGGCGCGTACTACGACATCTGGCTCGACGGCGAGAAGTTTGTCACTCAGTACACCGAGGTGGGCGCGGGTGATGGGCGGCGAATGAAGAGGGGGGAGCGCACCCCGTCAGGGTCTGGCAGCCGCCGGGGTCTGGCAAGGGCCGCTAGGGTCCTCGGAGGGGCCGCCAGGGTCTTGGGCGGGAAAGGCAGTGTCCTGACAGCAGCTCTTTCGTCGGCGAGTTCACCAGACCATCCTGGCTGCCCTGTGCCTCTTGTTGCACGGCAAAACACCGCTAGATTGTGTAACGGAAATCACCCTGCTCTCCCGGCCCACTCTGTTCCCGCTGATTTTGATCTGCAGAACCCCAAGGTCACCGCTGACCGCGCGTTCAACGGCTTCGGCACCAACTTTGAGAACAGCCCCGAGCCGATCTACGGCACCCAGGTGCGGGCGGACGACGGTTGCTGCGGCCAGGGCGGGACGGGGTCCGACCCCGGGGCCGATGCATCGCGCTCGTCTTGCAGTGACTGTCCGGGGCGGCTGCCAGGCCGGGTGAATTTGGCAGGGTGCGTCCTGCACGCACACGCACGCACGCGCTTGGGCCCATCTCCCCGCTGGCTGCCTGGCCCTCCACCGCCCCTTCAGTTCCTGCCGCGCAAGTTCAAGATCGCGGTGACCGTCCCGGGTGACAACAGCGTCGACATCTTCACCAACGACATCGGTGGGCACGCGGGGGGCGCTGAGTCCTTCTTGTTTGTCGATTCGAGCAAGGGCTAGTGCTGTTCCTCAAGAACAGGGTGGTTTTGCAAAGTGGCACGTGAGGCCTGCAGTCCGCAGGGCCCCAGCAGCACAGCGCCCACCTGCAGCACGCGCCCGGTCCCGCGACCAGCCTCCCACGGCCGCCCACCCCTCCCCCCTCATCCCAACAAAACCACTCCAGGCGTGGTGGTGATCACTGATGCCAAGGGGGAGCTGCAGGGCTTCGACATCCTGGTGGGTGCCAGCTGGCGGCCTCGGGCCACGGACTGTCCGCACTATGTGTCATGTGCTGTGGGCTGAAACGAGCACCAGAGGCCGACACCAAATCCGTAGCAGCCACCAAGAGCCCATGCAGCGCCATCATGTATCATGCTCAATATTTATGCGTGCATCGGCGTTTTTTGTCCACGGCTGGCTGGTCCGCAATTTCCGGCCCCGCATGTATTCCTGTGTGCTGCACCCTGCACCCCCGACCCCTCCTTCCTGAGCGCGCGCACACACACACACACACACACATACACACACACACACACACCACACC